TAATCTGCAGCAGATCGGTGGCCATTCGGTTCTGTGCTGCAGGGTCGGCGCTGATCCGGGTTCGCACGACGAGGGCGGTGACGGCTCGCAGGGCCATCGTTCGCGGATCATCTTGATCATCGTGGGGGCTATCCATCGCGTGAGATGTCTTAGCGAAGGTACGGACGCTACCGGCTGGTGGGTTGATCTGCGAGCTTGATTGCTTGGTGGTTCTACAGCAAGGGAGGAAGTTAGGGTCGAGTGTGGCGCGTTCGGCCGAACTGGTGCTGGTGGTTCACCGAAGTGATAGAAAATTAATGGGGGGGGGGCGTTCGGCCGAACTGACGGAGGGTACCAGAGAAGCGGACCCGCTTCAGTCCTCAAACCAACCTGCACTCACCAACCTCCTTACTGACCGTCAGCCACCGTGCAGGTGTTCAATCTATAACATCGAAACCAATCACCCCTGCTGAAGGATGGATAATGCAGCGAAAGATCAGCGCAGGACGCGTAACCCCGAAGCATTCAACTTCGATTCGAGGCCGCTGCAGGGTGAGCTGGACATGCAGGAGCGCCTGGCTCACTACGACGTACGCACAACGATTCTCGATTTGTTTTGGCGTGAAATCGAACGAATTAATGAATGAAGCCTTTCGCGCTACTTCCTACAGGTAAGCGCCCAGGAAGTGGAGCGGGGCCTAAAGGACGTGGACGAACGCATCGAGGACACCAAGCGAGAGAGCGACCAGGCGAGGGCCGATGCACGCCTGGCCAGCGCTCAGGTCAGAGAACACTCGGACAAGATCAATCAGATACAGGCCACCCTCAACGAGGCACAGGACAAGGCGCGGGCCCTCGAGGAGCAGCTCGCCCAGCAGCAGGCCCAGATGGAGGCCGTCGATCGCGAGATCGAGGCGGCATTGGAGGACCAGCGCAGCAAGCAGGAGGAGCACGCGCTCGTCGCCGGCAAGCTGAGCGAGCTCAAGCGCACGGCCGAGCGGCTCAAGCAGGAGATGGACGACATCAAGCGCGAGGAGGACACCCTCGCAGCCACCATCGCCGACCTTCAGGACCGCCTCCGTCAAGAGAACTTCACTGCAGAGAAGATCAAGGTGCGCAAACAACGGGTGGTGGTGGTTCGCCCATGATGGCGGCCCGTGGCTCACATGGCGCGTGGCTGCGCACAGGCGGAGAGCAAGCGGCTTGCCGATGCGCTGCGTCGTCTCGAGGACAGGCTCCGTTCGGTGAGCGAGGAGACGCGCGAGGCCTCGGCCGAGCAGAAGGAGCTCGAGCAGGCCATCGAGAACGCCGAAGACCTCATCAACGAGCTGGAGAGCAGCTACCGCGAGGCCAGCGAGGAGAAGACACACCAGGAGGCCGAAGCTGCTCGCCTAGATCAAGAGGCCGCCCAGGTTCGAAACCTCACGATAGCAATTTGGCTCCGTTGACTACATGCAATTGCATGAGTGGTACTCACGACATTCCGTATAGCAAAGGGCAGCCGCGCAGCGGTGCGAGCAGGAGATGGCGCAGCTCGACGCGGAGGAAGCCCAGCTGCAGCAAAAGCTCCACAGCACCCAGGACTACACTCGCACCGAGGGCCGCTGCCCCAAGCGCACGGTGACGGTGTCCCGCGAGGGCGAGAGACAGCAGATCCGCGATGCCATCAACAAGAACCGACAGCGTCACAACCAGCTAACCTCGCAGCGCAACGAACACCGCCAGCGAGCCGACAGCATGACGGAGAAGGCGCGCGAGGCCCGCAACATCGCGAGGCGCGAGCTCAACCGCATGAACGAGCTCCAGAGCAAGACCGGCCGCGCCAAGCAGAAGCTCAACACGGCGCAGGGCAAGCACAGGTCGGTCAGCCAGCAGCTCGTCGAGCTCAAGCAGAAGCTGAGCGCCACCAAGCACGAGCGCGAGCGCACCATCACGGCGCAGGCGTCGCTCGAAGAGGACCACGCCGAAGTCCAGCTGCGCATCCGGGCCATGACCGAGGAGGCCAACGCCAATAGCAACCAGCGGGACCAGCTGGGCCGCAAGCTGCAGGCCATCACCGTTCAGCTCGAAGACGCCACGGCCAACTGCGATGCGCTCGCGGCCGAGGTGAAGGACAAGGAGCGCGAGATCCGCGAGAAGAAGGCCAAGACGGCCCTCATTAGGCGCCAGAAGGACGGCGTGGTGAGCCAGCTCGCACGCCTGCAGGAGGATCAGCGCTCGGCCGAGCGCCAGCTGCAGCAACAGAAGGACCTGCTCAACGTGGCCACCGCTGCGCGCGCCACGGCGCTGCGGAAGAAGGAGCAGCTCGACCAGCTGCTCAAGACCATGCAGGACGCCAAGCGCGGCGCCGAAGCGTACTACCAACGCACAAGGCCCGCCATCGTTCCTGTGGGCGCCCAGAGGAGTGGTTAGAGAATGCGGTGTTGCGTTCTCAAACAAACAACGAGTGCCCCTGTCACCCGCAGAAAAATGGAGCCGCTCAATAAAAAATTACAAAAATTATCACATCAAATGTCATCGCATTTCTGGCATTTTTTCGATTCTCCTCGTTCGGCCGAAGTGGTTTTGGTTTTGTTGGTTTTTTCAGTTTTATTCATAACCACACGAAACTACAACCGCACATGGACAGACCCACTAGTGAAGAGGCAAGCACCGCTTCTGGCCTGGCACGCCTCACCCAGAAGCAGGTACGGCTGCGAGTGGAGGTGACCGCCCTCCAGCAGGTGCTGCGGCAGTCGGCCCAAGCCCAGTGGCAGAAGGATCAGTTGGCCACCGCGGCGCGACCTGGAACTACTCGAGAAGGCCCAAAGCGACCTCGTCCAGCTCATCGACCTTCTCCAGAAGGAGATCAGAGCCCAGGAGCGGTCCTCTCCCCTCTCATCTTTATTCGAATCTTTACATTTCTTCACTGAAGCCTCAGCTGACGTCAGCTTGGGGGGGGGGCGGTGCTGCATGTAGGCGGCTGGCCGAGCTGGAGGAGGAGACCATCGCGGCCGAAGACAAGGCTGAGGAGGAGCAGAAGAAGCTCGAAGAGCTGCAGGAGAAGAAGAAGCAGCTCGAGGAGGCCGAGGGCGAGCTGCAGGCCCAGAAGAAGGAGGCCGAGGCACAGTACCAGGCGGCGTGTGCTGCCCTGGACCAGGCACGGCGCGAGCTCGAGGCCGCGGCGGAGCAGGAGAGAAAACTGGCCGCGGAGCTCGCTGCGGTCGAGCGCGAGCTGCAGCAGGCCGAGCTCCAGCTGGCGGCGCTCGAGGAGAGGGTGCGGCTGCAGGAGATCAAGTGCTACGAGTCCCAGAAAGTGGTACCGTGCTTCCTCCCGTTCACGATTAGGAAGTGGCGGCTGATGTGCGCAGATCGAGGAAGTGGAGGCCAAGCGGGCCGAAGCGGCCGACGTGATGAAGCGCGCGCAGGACGAGGCAGCGCGAAGGGAAGAAGAGCTGATCGCTGCCAAGGAGGATCTGAAAGCCGCCGAGGCAGCCGAAGAAGCCGCCCGAGTACGCGCACACGCGCCTTCTCCTTCGTTACTTGAGGTGCGACGGTGACGATGGCTAACGGGGATTCGTAGGCAGAAGAGGCCAAGGCGAAGCTCGAGCTGGCCAAGGTCGAGGCCGACCAGCGCGCCGCCGAGGAGCGCCAGAGGGCAGCCGAGCAGGAGGCGGCCCAGGCCCTCGCCGCGCTGGCATCCGCTCAGCAGCGGCTCGAAGCCGCAAAGTCCAAGGCGGCCGAGCTCGGCCTCGTGTGCAGCCTTGTGCCCGCCGTACAGGGCCTCGGCGACACCTATGTCAAGCAGGCCGCGTGGAAGGCCGAGGACAAGCACCGCAAGGAGGCGGCCCCGAGCGCTGCGCCTGCGGATGGATCCCAGACGGCCGCCACGCTGGCTCCAGTCGCGATGGCCGGCGGCCCCGTTGGTGTGGCAGTCGCGGCCGCGATCGCTGTCTTCAGTGCCGTGACGGCCCAGCTCAAGGCCCAGGCCGAGGCCGAGCTGAAGGCCGCCGAAGCTGACGTCAGCGCGGCGCAGGAGCGCGTCGGCCAGGCCAAGGCCAAGGAGGCGGAGTGCGCTGACGCGGCCTCGGCCGCCTCGGCCGCCACCGATGTGGCCCGAAAGGGTCTCCAGCAGGCGGTCGAACTCGTGAGCGCCAAGACTACCCTCCGACGAGGGGCTGAGGGCTCCATGGAGAGCGCCAAGGCCAGGCGCAACGTCGCGCGACAGAACGAGACGAGAACAGTCGACGCGCATTCGCGGCTCGAGGCCGACAGCAAGGCAGCGGCAGTGTACGACCAGAAGCTAAAGGAGGCGCTGGTCGAGGCCAAGCTCAGGCGCGACGAGCGCAGGGCGATCCGGGCCGACCTGGCCCAGCAGCACCGGGAAGCCCAGGCCGCGCACCGGCGGGCACAGGAGGGCCACGACGCGGCCAAGGCCGCCGTCGAACAGACGCGGCTTGGGCTAGACAAGGCCAGCGCCGACCTGCAGGCTGCGACCGCCGACTTGGCGAAGGTGACCCGCGAGATCAACGCCTGTCAGCTCGAGATTAGCTCGCAAAGGGAGAAGGTCAGGCGGGCGCAGAGGGAGCAGGAGCGGCTGGAGAGCGAGCATCAGGCCAACAAGCGCCGACGCGATGAACTGCAGCGACAGCTGGAGACCGTTCAGTTACAGCTGAGCAAGCAAGCCAAGGTCGTGGAGCACCGCAGGGCAGAGCCGCGCGAGCAGTGGCGCCGCACGCAAGACAAGCTCGACAACACCAATGCCGCCCTGCGCAGGGAGATGGAAGCGGCCAGCTCGAACACCCACTACCGTCCGCAGGTCTGCGCCCGGCCGGGCTGATTAAGTTGCTGTTTACTGATATATGATAACAAACATCATGATTATCTCTTTGCAATGACAACAACATTTCAAACAGCAGGGGCTCTTCAGCCCCACCCCGACCTGTTTTCTCGCTACTTCTCCTCCCTAAGAATTCGTGTCGGCCGGGTGCTCTCCCTCGTAGCCACCATGCTTAGGAGTTGAAAAGAAAAAAGCCCGGGCTGTATGTGGAGTCCCCGATCTAAGCCGTTTGTACATTCGTCGTCACGCATGGCTACACAATAGTGTCTTGCCGGGCCATCACGATGCAGATGAGTGGTTCCTCCTCTTTTCGCTTGTCGAGCAGCTTCTCGAGCCGGGCCAGCAGCTCGGCCTTCTTCCCTCCTGCGCCCGTCGTCTCCAGGATTTGCAGCTGCCTACGTAGACGTTCGTCGTTTGTTGTGCGCCGGTGCGTGTGCGTGTGCGGTGGTACGTGTGTGCGTGTGCGTACCTTCGCAGCTCCGCAAGGGAGAGGAGCTGGGCCTCCTCCTTGCACGTAATGAGATCGGGGCAGGCGTAGACCTCGGCCTGGTTGCGCAGATACTCCTCCGTACGCTCGGCCACCCGCAGGAAGCGGAGGTCGGGCAGTCGCGCTGCGACGTGACAAGTGTGCGTGCGTGACGCCAGACGTTCATGCACGCGCGACCATCATTCAGCGCAACGGCTAACGAAGAATAAAGAGAAGAGCCGATGATGTGTACCAACTAGGCGGCACAGAGCGGTGATGAAGATCGATGTTCCCTGGACATCGAGCACCTCCAATCGGCTCAGCTCTGATGGCAGGCACGGGATCGTGATGAGCCAATAAATAAATAAATAAGATGTTCAAGTTTCGGTCCTCTTGTTGGGGATTCGTACTGGCGATGCTGTCGTTGGCGCCAATGTTCGTGATGTCGACGTTGCGGGCGACCTTCAGCTCTCTCAGTCGGGCGAGCTCTGCGCGCACCACCCGGAGAGAAACGGAATGAGTGCTGAGTGGGAGAGATAGACAGCAAGATGGGCAGGGGTCGGCCCGCCGAGACGAGATGTGTACTTGCAACGTGCACCAGATGCTCGTCGTTGAGATGCATGTTGCTCAGGTTGAGTTTCACCAGACCCGGCAGACCTAAACCACCACCAACCCCCGCGACGTATGTGCGTGTGCGTGTGCGGTTGTGCGTGTGCGTGTGCGGTTGTGCGTGTCTATCGTCAGAGATGGCGCCAGATGCGTGCGACGATGAACCGAGGAGCGAATTCTTTGTGGCGTACATCCGACAAGTTTGAGTGTACTCATCCCAAGATCAGTGGACGCCAGGTTGAGCTCCGTCAGCGAACTGAACTCTGCCAAAGCTCAACCGGTCAGTGGTGCGTGCATGTGACTGTGTGTCGTGCGTGTGTCGTGTCGTGTGTGCCGTGCGTTGTGCGTTGTGCGGTGGTGTGTACATATACCGTGGAAGGGAATCACGGTGCCCCGGCCAAGCCTGCACTCGCTCAAGTCGAGGCAGGGGAGAGCAGCGGCGTCGAAGAAGCCGACGAAGGGTTGCATGCTGGCCCGCGTCTTCCGACAGCGCTCGACGATTCGCTTCACCGTCGCGTCGTCGAACACCACCCGCTTCGCTTGCGGCGGCAGCGGAAGGCTGACGATCTCGGATCGCAGAGACAGCGCGTGTGGCGGGGATGCCAAAGGCGACGCCGCCGAGGGCAGCCAATGCACCGGCGAGCCAAAGGGCGAGGAGTGGGACTGAGGGGTCCTGGCCACGGGCGACTGGTGACCAGGCCTAGCGACCCTCGGACCCGGCATGACCGGCGACGACGTCGTCCACTCGATGCCAGCAACGACGTCCACGCACAGCGCAAAGAGGGACACCTCGCGGAAGTGGCGTTGGTTGCGCTGTCGCGTTTCGTTGCGTTGGTTCTCGAGGAGGTAGGGTCCAAGCGTGTGCATGAGCTCACCACCATCATCATCACCGCCAGCGCTCGGCTTGGGCGGTGGTGGTAGAGTAGCGGTCGAGCTGTCAGTGGCGTGAGGCGAGGACAGGGTGGTGCTGGGAGCAGCAGGGCAGGACTGATGGATGCTCGGCCACCGATTGGGTGAGATGGGAAGCGGCAGATCGTCGGCGGTCAAGTCGAGCACAAGGGTGGGCCGACACTGCCGGCCCTTCATTGGACTCAAGGATGGTGCTCGTGTCTTTGATTTTCTAGGGCTGGCCGTCGGATTTTGCTTCGCCTTCGGTACCCAGTCTTGCTCTTTAAATTCATGAGCCTCCTCACCTTCATCTTCGTCCTGCACGATGCAGTCTCGACCATTAATCCAATAAATAAATAATAAAATATCGCAAAAGGGTGAACACAGATGAATTACCTCCGAAGTAACGATGGTGACCTTGACCTTTCGCGTTCTCTTGGACGTCGCAGCCTTCGACGACGTGGTGAGTCCATCCATCGCCGCTTTTCTCCTCCAGTAGCCTCCATCGAGTCTGGTTTGGAGCTGTTGATTTGCGGTTCGCTTTCTCTTCTTGGACCGCGCCACGACGCTGGTGCTCATCTTTTTCCTTTCGCGTTGGCCGTGGTCGCTGCTCACGTTTTGCCTCCAGCCACTTTCCCCCCATTTTGTCAACGGCCAGAATTCAAGGAATTCCGATTATGAAGAGAAAAAAGTGTTTCGAAAATAAAAGAAATTGTTGCGGAAAAGGGACAAACACTGGTGCCGTTAGATTCCATTCATCCGCACGCCGAGTGCTTCGCCTCCCTCCCATTCCCGTGGACAGTCGGCTGACCTGTTTGATAACCGGCAGTGCTGCGCATATGGACACCGAATGTACGTTTTTCCCGACCCATTGATTGACAGTTCAAATGAACGCATGTGTTTCCCTTCATCATCATCACAGATGTTTCCGAGTACGGTCCGCGGGAGGGCTACGCCCGCGACAAGAAGGACAAGGGCCTTTCCTACCAACGGCGGCTGCGCAATCGTCAGGCCAAGAAGGTGCAGCGCGAGCTGGACGGGCTGGGCCTTGACGACTTTGACGAAGAGCGCGTGGCGAGGGAGGAGTACAACAAAGAACACGGTGTGCACCCATCCAGTGCGGAAGTCTGCTCGAACTCTCTCTCTCTCTCTCTCCACTGACCTCACGTTTGGCCTTCTTTGTGCAGATGCGGCGGCCCAGGTGGGGCTTCCGCCCAGCATGCTGTCGTGGCGCGAGAAGCGCGAGCTGCCAGCCACCGCCGCGGCCGATTCCGAGGCCTACGTGGTGGTCAGGAACTCGGTGCTTTGCAAGTGGCTCAAGAACCCCCACGAGTACCTCACCCGCGCCGAAGCCATCAAGGGCCTGCGGGTACTTCATCTCTACTTCTTCTTCGTCTTCTTCGTCTTAGCCCCTCTCTGCGCTCTCGAGGAGGAGGAAGACGACGTTGATGATGTTACTTGTTTCTGGGCAGGCGAAGCACGCGCCGACGGCGAAGCTGGCGCACGACTTCCTGACGCGCTACGGCTACATCAACACCGGCGTGTTCGATAATCCGCGGAAGGAATGGAACAAGGAGAAGGTCATCGTACTCGGCGCGGGCGCGTCCGGTCTCGCGGCGGCCAAGCACCTTCACCACCTCGGCTATCAGTACTCCCTCAGCTCGATCTACTATCATGGGCGCAACACCTCCCCTAAAAACATTGCGTCACCCCTCCCTCTCTCTTCGCTCTTTTTCTTCGCACACTAGGGTGACAGTGTTGGAGGCGCGAGATCGGGTCGGCGGGCGAGTCAACACAAACAGCTCGTTGGGCGGCGAGATCGACCTGGGCGCCATGGTCGTGACCGGTACGCGGTCCTGCCTCGCTTTGTCGCCGCAAGTCGCAAGTTAGGATTGTGAAATAACCACACACACACACACACACACACACACACACACACACACATGCCTACAGGTACGATTGGTAATCCGGTGTTCAACCTCATCAAGCAGGTGCGCGAGGAGGTGCACATACTCGAGAGCGACTGCCCGCTGTACACCGCCGCTGGCATTCCTCCGCCGGCGGACCTCGACGAAAAGGTGGAGAAGGACTTCAACGACGTGCTCCGGCTCACCAACAAGGTAAGCAACGTCCATCCGCTCATTGCATTGGCTCACTCCCGTGCTCGGCTGACACACCGTGTGTGCGTGTGCGTGTGTGTGTGTGTGCGTGTGCAGGTCCAGTACTGGGACCTGATGCGCGAGGAGAAGAACACGGCGGTAGTGTTCGGCAAAGCGGCGTACGTCAAGGAGGAGAAAAAGCTGGTGGTGCCCGCCCCCCGCGAGGAGGAGCAAGGCGCCAAGAAGGCGGAGACGCCCCGCGTGAAGAAAGAAGAGGAGGAGGAGAAAAAGGGGGAGGAGGACTCGATCCAGGTGCCCTCGATGGAGGAGGACATCGAGGCCGAGGCCGAGGCCAAGCCCGATACCGAGGCCCAGCAGCAGCAGCGACAGGGTGACGAGGCCGCCAAGTCCGAACCGTTCGAGCAGCCCGCCAGCGTCGAAGACTCCGTCGCGCCGGAGGTGAAGCAGGAGACCACGACAGAGGTGAAGCAGGAGGCCACAACGGAGGTGAAGCAGGAGACCGAGGAACAGAAGGCCGAGGCTCTGGCCACCTTCTACGCCGAGCTCATGGGCGAAGACGCCGGCCAGCCCGGGGCCAGCGGTAACCTCTACTCACTTCGCACTATCCTTCGGTCACGCTGACTCCTACTCACTGTGAGGACTGCGCACAGTCAAGGAAGAGGAACCCAGCGAGAAGGGAGGAGCCACGACCACCAAGGCCTCGCCTCCGCCCAGGAAGCGAGTGGTGTCGCTGGCCGCGGCGCTGTCCCTCCCCAGCTCCTCCGAGAAGATTACCGACCGTACATCGCTGGGCCGTGCAATCGATCATGTGCTCCAGGAGCAGGTACGCCGCTACTCGCCCGCAACTTTGGTTTCTCCTCCTAACCACCCACCCACCCACCTACCACACAACACGCGATGTGTGCAGAATCTCTATCCCGAGTACACGCCGCTTGAACGATCGACATTTGATTGGCACGTGGCCAACCTGGAGTACGCATGTGCGGCTGAGCTGGCCGACATCTCGCTCCGTCACTGGGATCAGGTACCCACTACCACTACTAATACGAACGCCCGCCTGCCAATTCGTGTACCCTCATCGCACTCGTTTTCCCTCTCTTTGTTGTTGGACCCAAGGACGATCAATACGATTTCGAGGGCCACCACTGCCTTCTGCAGAGGGGCTACGGCACGGTCCTGCAAAAGCTGGCCGACGGGCTGGACATCCGCTACGGCCACCCCGTGGAGTCGCTCCACTACGACGACGACGGCGTCCGGGTGACCACCTCGAACGGCGACACATTCGAGGGCGACATCGTTCTCGTCACGCTCCCGCTCGGCGTTTTGAAGCAGGGGTGCGTCGATCGCGCGCCGTGGAATGTCGTTGTTTGACTCAACGCGTTTCCCCCTCCGACAGGGCGGTGAGCTTCGAGCCTCCCCTGCCGGGCTGGAAGGTGGACGTCATCAACCGGATGGGGTTCGGCAACCTGAACAAGGTGGGCCTCCTCTTCCCTAGCGTGTTCTGGGACGACACCAAGGATTACTTTGGCGTGTGCGACGACGAGATCGCCCAACGGTACACCTGGGTCCCTCACACGTCGCGCTTCTGATTGTGTTGGCGAACACTCACACGTGCTGCGGCTCAGGGGCGAGTGCTTCATCTACAACAACATGCACCGCTGCATGAAGAAGCCGATCCTTCTGGCGCTGGTGGCTGGCGGTGCGGCCTACACGCACGAGGAGCGGAGCGACGAGGAGATCGTGGCCAGGGCCATGCGCAAGCTGCGGCAGGTCTACCCGGGCTGCCCCGATCCCATCAACCACGTCATCACCCGGTGGTACAGCGACCCGTTCGCCCGGGGCTCCTACTCCTACGTGTCCGTCGATGCCTCAGGTATTTCTTCTTCATTTCTTATCGACAGACCTGACAACATTGCTGACGTGTGTGTGTGTGTGTGTGTGTGTGTGATAGGTGACGACTACGACATGCTGGCGCGTCCCGTTTCGCTCCGCCTCTTCTTCGCGGGCGAGGCCACGCAGCGCGAACATCCCGCGACGGTGGCCGGCGCCTACCTCAGCGGCTTGCGCGAGGCCGGCCGCATCGACCGGGCGTGGAGCGGACCGTTGGAGTCGGAGGAGCTCGTCGCGCGGGCCACCACCGGCAAGCGCAGGTCCGCCGCGAGCGAGTCCAAGAGCCGCAAGAGCGCGACGCAGAGCCTCGGTGCCATGCCGCGCTTCAAAAAGAAGGCCAGCAGCTCCGGCAACGGGCACGATGATCGCGACCGCGACCGCGACCGCGACAGGGATCGCTATGACCGCGACGACGACCGGGACCGACGTCGCGACCGAGACGACCGGGACAGACGGGACCGCGACAGAGACCGAGACCGCGACCGTGATGCGGACTACGACCGCGACAGAGACCGAGAACGGGACCGCGACGGCGATAGGGACCGAGACCGCGACCGCGACCGAGACCGGGACCGACGAAGTGATGGGTGGGACCGGCGGGAGAACGAGAAGCGGAAAACGCCGCCACGATCGTCGTCGCCGCCGTCGCAGCAGAAGAAGTACCGCTGGGAGGACGCCTTCCCGCCGTCGTCTGCGACGTCGGGGTCGTCTCAGTCGGCGCTGCCCGCGCCCGTGGGCCAGCTGCCCTTCCAGCCCCGTCCGCCACTCATCGCCTCGGCACCGCCACGAGTCATGGGCCTCCCCACGCCGCCGCCCTATCTCATCAACAGCGGCCAGCCGCAGCCGCAGCCGCAGGGCATCATGCCGCCCGCGCTCGCCGGCGCCTACAACCCGGCCTTCCCCACGCACCTGGCCAACCGGCCTCCCCTCCACATGACGCCGCCGCCGCTCCACCACCACCAGCAACAGCACTACCCGCACAGCAGCAGCAGCAGCAGATGCCGGCGGGCCTCCACCAGTTTGCCGCGATGGGCGGCGGCGCCCAGCCGTTCATGCCGACGCCCCAACAGGCCGCCATGACCATGGCCATGGGCGGCCTCGTCGGCAACAACCCGCCGGCGCGTACCAATGGCCACGGCGGCGGCAGCGGCAGCGGCGGCGGTAGTATCAGCACCGGCCTTACCTCTGGCGTGGAGGTGCCCCAGGGGCAGGGCCGGAACGAGAGGAAGGAGCAGAAGGAGCGGGACGAGGCGAGGAGAACGAAGGAGAAGGAGAAGGCCAAGATCCCCGTGGCGGCCAGCGCCGGGAGCAAGGACAAGGCGGTCTCGAGCGAGAAGAAGTTCCGCAAGACGGTGGGCACCTACGTCGTCAAATACCTCAAGAAGTACTTGGACGAGGTATGGTTCCCCCCCCCCCACTACCCTCCTTCCCCGGCTTTGCGGGGCTCTGCGCGCGATCTCTTTTCACTCACCAACGACCGTGTGCACGTGGCTGCAGGGCAAGGTGAAGAGCAAGGACGATTTCAAGCATCTGGCGCGGAAGCTCACGCACCTGATCGTGGAGAAGGAGCAGAGGCGCATGCTGGTGAAGAAGGCCAGCAGCAAGAAGGGACGCAGCGGTACAGTCACACCCGCCGACACACGACACGACACGACCAACGACACGACAGTCGACTGACGTGCAGTTTGTGTGGTGTGTGGTCGGTTGGTGTCGAGCAGCTGAGCTGAAATGGAACGAGAAGGTGAAGGACAAGCTGATCTCGTTCGTGGATGAGTACATGGACAAGCTGCCGGGAGTCTATGAGGCCAAGTCTCTCAAGATGTAGCAGGTTGCTGCCATAACAACACGAAAGTAAAAACAAGGCGTTCGTTCGGTTGCTTGCAGCTGCCCTGACCTCGGCGGTGTGATTTCTCTTTCTTTTTCTTCGCCAAATAAACAAAGAAATTATGTCGACCAGATGTTATGTCGGAAATGAAAAGAGAGCCAATTTCGTGCGAAGCACTCAGCAACCGCAGAGTACAAAGAGAGAGGAGGAAGATGGGTCTGGATGACAGCGATGACCATGGTGGAAAGCACCACAGCGACCACGAGGAGGACAAGCCCGCCGCCTCGAACCAGACGCCTGGAGGTGCTGGTGCGTTCGGTCAGAACGATTTCGAACATGGCCTGTGCTCCTGCTTCTCCAATTGCGACGTTTGTACGTTTCCCAAAAATGATTGATCGATGAATTGCATGGCGAAGCTTCTCCATTTGATCTCTTTGGAATTCCAAAGAGATGCAATCTACGTGAGCTCACGATGACAATCTCAACCAAACCCTCAAATTATGACTAGGCATCTGCTCGTGGTGCTGCCCCTGCATCCAGTTCGGCCAGAACTGGGAGAGGCTCAACCCCCACGTGCGCTCTCTCTCTCTACTTTCTACTTCCTGTGCGTTTTATTTGTTTTATTAAATTATATTCTCTTGGTGGTGCGTGCACAGAACGAGAGGGACACGAGCAGCAGCTTCCTCATCTGGTGCTGCGTCTACTTCCTGACCATCTCGTTTGCCGACATGTGGTTCTTCTTCCTCTCCTCGGTACCATACCTCTCGTCCCCCTTTTCTTTATTGTTTGTTTATTTTTATTTTATTTTTATTTTTTTACCGTTTTTTTTTGGCTGACTCGTGTTGGTGGGTACAACGCGTCAGACTTTCCTCCGCTGGTGGACCAGAGTCGAGTTCCGGAAGGCGCTGGGCTACCGGGTACGCTGCAGCCGCTTCATCTGATCAGGCTGTGCGCTGACTGACTGACGCGGTGGTGTGCAGGAGCGTCCGATCTACGATTTCCTGAGCGCGCTCTGCTGCCCGTGCTGCATGATCGCCCAGGACGGCAACGAGATCAAGGCCTTCAAGGAGGGCAAGCTCAACCATTAAATTAAATCGTACCGAGGGCCTCGGCGTTTCACTCGCGGAGCGACGGAGGCATGACGTCTTGTTTC